AGGACGACGGAGGACGACGGAGGACGACGGAGGAGGAGGAGGAGAACGAGAAAGAGGGCTCTTCCTGCCCTCCCCTCTCCCCATCGATGCTTCTCCTCCTCCTCGTTTCTCGTCTCCTCCTCTGTTCCTCGTTTCTCCTGCAACTTCTTGTTAAACTCTCATTTCTGAAGGATAATTATTGTTGATCCCCCCTCACCAGTGCATACTGTTTTTCTCCATCAAAGTGTGCCCCTCGACGCTCGCACCCTGTTTTTTGACATGGAAAGTCTTCCTGCTCAAACTGGCCCCCTGGCCCCCGGGTTACAACAACAACGGCTCCCGCCTGAGACTTCCTTACAATTTAGGCAGGACCCCCGCTCCCGCCCGAGACTTCCTCGCATTTTATTCAGGAATCGCGCTCTCGCTTGGGACTTCCTTACAATTTATTCAGGAATCGCTTTCCCGGAGCTCTGGAATCGCGCTCTCGCTGGAGACTTGGTTGCAACTTACTGAAGAATAGCCTTGCGTTGGAATTTCTTGCAATTTGCCCAAGCGCCGCGCTCCCGACACCCAGGCACCCAGGAGTCGCGCCCGTTGTGGTCCCATGTGCATGCCCTTCGTGGCCCCGCTGTCGCCATTTGTGTCCCCCTCATTGTCCTACGTGGCCCAGTTGCTACCCTTAGTGGCCCCATAGTTGCCTTCTGTGGCCCCGCATTATCTACACTTCGTGGCCCCCGCTCGTTCGCACTCTTCATGGCCCCATGCACATTCCCTTCGTGTCCCCGCTGTCACCCTTCGTGGCCTACTTCGTGCCCTTCGTGGCCCTGCTGTCGTTCTCTCTCGCTCTCGCTTTCGCTCGTCGTCGCCGTCGTCGCCGTCGTCTTCGAAGTCGTCGTCGTCGTCGTCGTCGTCGTCGTCGTCGTCGTGGTCGGTCCCTTGTCCGTCCCTCCTGGGGTCGGGTCGACGGTCCGCGGCCGCCCCGCCAATCAGCGCTGCCGCTGGCCAGGCCGACGGTCCGCGGCCGCCCCGCCGCTTGCCAGGGCCCAGCCTGCAGGGAAGAAAGGTATACCCCCCAAAAGGGGTTCGATCGAAGACGAAGAGGGCGGGCATCGAGGGATTGGGAAGTACGCGCTATTGGACACTCGAGCATATAAGGGCGAACAGTCTTAAAATGATGGTTGTTGTTGTTGGTGGTGCTGCTGCTGCTGTGGTTGTTGTGGTTGTTGTTGTTGTTGTTGTTGTTGTTGTTGGTGTTGTTGTTGTTGTTGTTGCTGTTGTTGTTGGTGGTGTTGTTGTTGGTGCTGGTGTTGTTGTTGTTGTTGTTGTTGTTGTTGTTGGTGTTGTTGGTGTTGTTGCTGTTGCTGTTGTTGGTGGTGCTGTTGTTGTTGTTGCTGTTGTTGTTGGTGGTGTTGGTATTGGTGTTGTTGGTGCTATTGTTATTGTTGTTGGTTATATTACTGTTGTTGTTGCTGTTGCTGTTGCTATTGCTGCTGCTGCTGCTGTGTTTGTTTTTTTCTCTCTCTCTCTCTCTCTGAGGAGGAGGAGGAGGACTGCGCTATATTGCTGATCCCCTTGAGGGTAGGTATAACCTTATAGAGTTCGGTGAGGCACATGGGACTCTCCCACGCTATACGGTGGTGCTCGTGAAGGTTGCGATTGCAATCCATCTGATCCCAGAGCCGTGTGCAATGACCGTTGTTGCCACCTGGTGTTGGTGGATGGTATGCATATTCCGTATTCCTTGTTGCAGCCACCTTTGCTTCAAAAGAACGTGAAGATGTTGGGGGTTCTTGCCTCGTCGCCTGACTGTGACCAAGTGACCAAGCAGGGTTGCACCCTGGCACTTGGAGCGCCAATGCGACAGTTATTTCGGACGCGGCGCAAGACCGGGACGTGTGGTGATCCCGTCGCAAAGATTGGATCACACATACGTTGGGTATAAGGGCAAGCTCGTCTTTATTCGGCTCCGTAGCAGCATGACAGTTGGGGAGTTCTCTGACGCGGTGGAGCGATTTTTTCCGCGTCGCTCCATTCCATGCAGTCATTGCGATTGCCCGCGGCAAGAGGGCTCTTTCCACAGACACCGCTTCCAGTCCAGTCCAACTCAGGGGGCATGAACAAAGGGTCTGCGGAATCGCCGCTGCCCCAACGCGAGAAGACCACGCCCTGGCAAGTGACTCCTGGAGGCCATCTTTGATCCCCGAGGGGAAACCAAAGAAGTAGGCAATCGGGGCAAAGGGAAAATCGGCAAGAGTAGCAAATTCAACAGCCGATTGTCCACCTCCTGTGACCAGCAGGAGGAGGACTCCTCTCTCCTTCCCCCTCTCCTCTCCTCTATTCTCCGTCTCTCCTCTATACGTATGTTCTTCACATCGTTCGTTGCCCATGTACGCAGGAGAAGCAGGAAGAGAGGGAGGAGGAGGAGGAGGAGGAGGAGGAGGAGGAGGAGGAGGAGGAGGAGGAGGAGGAGGAGAGGTGATCTTGGAGACCTCTACACTGGCGGGCTGGGGCCGCCAGAGCTTTGGAAGAGCCAGCCCATCAGTCCAGGCCAGCCCGCTCACCCCGCACTGCCCAGCGCCCAGGCCCCGACCACTCGACATCCCCTGGACTCTTCTCGAGCCCGCCCGTGTGGAGTGCATCATCGCGCGGCCACCCGGCGGCACGCCTGCGCGGCCTGTAGGGAACACGGCCAGGGGGCACTCGGCACGAGCGTGGCGGACAATCGTCCGGCGTGCAGCTTTCTGCGAGTCGAGGAAGACAAAGCGCCATGGAGATGATTTTTTGGCGCTCCGCGCGGATGTCTTCGATCCGTGCTGGACCCCCCCGGGCGGCGCCTCCGGCGCCGCCCTTGGCGCGCGGAGCGCGCCAGGGAGGGGGGTCCAGCGCAGATCCAAGAAATCCGCGCGGACCGTCGAAAGTTGGTGTTTATGCATTTTCTCTTGTAGTGAGACCACCCCTTGGGTATCGAGGAGGTTTCGTTGAGGGGGCTGTCGCACCTTGCGGTTTGCGGCGGCCTGTTTGTCGCCTCGATAACTCGTGTGCCTGGCACGTGTGAGTGCAGAATGCACATGTCCGTGCGCAACTACTCATTCAATTCATCCATATAGCTTGCAAGTTCCCCATAATCACAAATGGCATACCGATCGATCTAATTATGCATCACCAACTAACGAACTATACAAATGCTTAGTCACATGGTCAGTTGGGTCTCTTTCTGAGTATATACAACTGTTCCCTGTACTCATATGTGTGTACATGTTTACATGTGAAAGAGCGTGTTCTACCGCTGCTGGCGGAAAACCGCGGGGGGTCACTACCGGTTCGAACCCCTCCCCCCCCCCCTCTCCGGAAAACCGGGGGGTCACCGGTTCGAACCCCTCCCCCCCCCCCCAGCTCATCATGAAAAGGGGGGGGGGTCACTACCGGTTCGAACCCCTCCCCCCCCCCTCTTTCGAAAACCCAGTGGGGGTGCGGACAGAGGTGGGGACGGTGTTGGTGGGACAGTGGTGAGGGGACAGCGGGACAGTGGTGGGGACAGTGGGACAGTGGGACAGTAGAGGGCCGGTAGTGGTGGGGACAGTGGTGAGGACAATGGTGGGAACAGGGGGGACAGTGGACAGTGGTGGGGACGGTGGTGGTGGGGACAGTGGTGTGGGCACAGTGGGAATGAGGTGGAAACAATGGGACAGTGGAGGGTACAATGGTGGTGGGGACAGTGGTGAAGGCGGTGGCGAGGACGGCGGTGGGACAATGGGACAGAGGTACAGTGGGGACAGTGGTGGGGACAGTGGGGACAGTGGTGGGAACAGTGGGACAGCTCAGTGGGACAGCGGCGGAGTCAGTGGGACAGTGGGGACAGTGGGGATAGTCGGGCAGTGGTTGGGGCCGTGGAGACAGTGGGGAGAGTGGAACCGTGGTGGGAACAGTGGTGGGGACAGTGGGGACAGTGCGACAGTGGTGGGGGCACTGGTGGGGACACAGTGGGGACAGTGGTGGTGAGGACAGTGGTGCTGGGAACAACAGTGGAGGATGTGATGCGGACGGTGGTAGGGACCGGGAGTCGTTTGCTGGCGGTGAGTGGGGGGGGGGAGGGGTTCGAACCGGTAGTGATCCCCCTCCGGTTTTCGAGGGGGGGGGGGGGTTCGAACCGGTAGTGACCCCCCCCGGTTTTCCGGATCCGGAGGGGGGGGGGGGGGGGAGGGGTTCGAGCCGGTAGTGACCCCCCCCGGTTTTCGAGGGGGAGGGGTTAGGGGAGGGGGGGGGGTTTTGCCGGGGGAGGGGGGGAGGGGGAGGGGTTCCAGCATGGGGGGGGGGGGGGGGGATTTTCGGAGGGGGGGGGGGGGGGCGACCCCCGGGCTCCGGAGGAAAAGGTTGGCAATTTTCCACAGTAAAGCGGCGGTGGATCACGCTCTCTCTTACATGTGCATACATATTTGCAAGGTAAGATATGATTACACCAGGGTGACGGTGTAACCAACGATTTGCATATTTCAATGTGACACCAACTGTCCAACTGCATTACTATTTCCCTTGCCTTCTTCAAGTAGAGAGTCGTGGCACCTTCGCCTGATGATCTTTGTCCCAGAGGCCCACAGGAGCTGCCGACCCCGCCTTTCGCGTGGATTTGGCGCCCTGAGCAGCTGTCAGCCTCGCCCAGAGGGTACTCTATCTAGCGCGCCCGGCTTGCGCTGATGCCGCGCAGGTGCTTGTCGTCGTCGTCGTCAGCGCCGTCGTCCAAGCTTCTGCTGCCGGGTCCTCGCGCACTGGTGCGGGCAAGAGTCACAGGCATCCCCCCAGCGCGCCGAGTGTGTTCGGACTTGTTTCCCCCTCAGGCGCCCGAGACGTGGTGGGTATGGAGGAGCAGTTGGCAGTTGAATTTGGGATAGAAGTCCAAGGCCCCGTGGTCGGCGATATTGCGGCTGTCCCGCAGCCGGGGCTCCGTGCGCGCACGCCGCCGTCGTCGCCTCCGCGCTCTGCGCGGCCGGGCCTTCGTTCGGCCCGCGGCGCCCGGCCGCGGCCAGGACTTCGCCGCGGGCCAGCCGCCCACGGTGCTCTCGGTGGAGACCTCGGGCGCGCTGCAGGCGTGGAACAACGAGCACCCGGAGCTGCAGGCGCGGCCCTCGCACTCGGCGGCGAGCCTTCTCGGGCTCGTCAGAAGGCCCTCTCCCTTCGACCGTGACACAGGGGGGAAGTGAGGAGGAGAGGGCCTCCTCGGGAGGCCCGGAAGTCCCCACGGCCCTGGAGGATTTTTTTGTCTGAGCTTCCCCGAGGGCGCCGAGAACTTCTCAGAGGGCGCGATGGCTTCCGAGAAGTCCCGCCGTGAGGAGGAGAAGGAGGAGGAGGAGGAGGAGGAGGAGGAAGGCCGTCTTCTTCTCACTTAACCCCCATCGCTCGCCACCGAGACGCGCTGGGCCGATCGAAGATCCAGTGTAACACTACAGTCGTGGCCCTGAAGAAGGAACCCTTTTCGTTGGGGAAGGGCTCCGCGTTCCTTAGGTGTTTCACAGCTTGCCTCAGGTTTTCCTTAGGTTTTCGACAGGAAATCGACGTTTAACTTATGGAAAAGAGGGGCCTCGTTTCTTATTTAGGGTTCCTTAGGTCAACGCCCCGATTTGTAGTACGGTTTCGGGCTGCGCACAGGCAGTCCTCCCAGATAGTCCCGGCTGGCCTTAACGGGCCTCCCGAGTAGTCTGGGGCGGAAAAGAGGGGGGTGATGACTAGGGGGAGGTGGATATCATGGCGCGGGCCATGATATTTCCCCAGATCTCATGGCGCCCCTTCTTGCTTCATTACGTCCCAGGCCCCCCCGCTGGGCCGCGCACATGCCGCCAGTCATGATGTGCACCCCCCCCTCTTGGACGCCCCCCTCTTGGCCGCTCCCGAAGTCTGGGGCGGTCTCAACACCTCAGCGCGGAGCGCCCCAGGGGGCGCCGCCAGAGCCCGGCGCCAGGGCGTCCAGCCGGGATCACCTGGGGCTTGGCATCGCTCGGACGTGTGCATTTTTCCTTCGGCGAGGGCCATCGAGGAGCATCCTTGATCATTTGGCGAAAAAACCACGCACGAAACCGAACAAAAATCACAGGGAATGGACGTCCGAGCGATGGCGAGAGGGGCGCCGCCAGAGCCAGCGCCAGGGCGTCCAGCCGGGATTAACTGGGGGGCTGTCTTTGCGCAGCCCGGAGTCTTACCAGTCAAGCTCAAGTCGCCATGAAGGAAAGGCTCTTGAGAGACACGGGATCCTGAAGGAAGCAAGGGTCGAGGAGGGAGAGGCCATGGGCGTTTCTGTCTTTCCCGGCAGGGGCTCTGGCCAAGGATTCTCCTCCATTGGGTGGGCCTTTGGCCCTAGACCGGAGGGATGTCGAGCAAGCGACGTCGGATTTGGGCACGTCTAAATCTGTGCCGAAAGGGGGGTCTCCAACATGCGTGTCGGCATGCATGTGTTTGGCAGGTGGTTTGACGTCTTGTCGGCGCCCAAAGGGGCCAGGGGGGGATGTCGGACATGTGGTCGTCGGACTGTTTGCTCATGCAGGTGGGTGTCCAATGTGCGTCTGGCGCGCTCGCATTCGGAATATTCGTAGTCGGAGTCGACGCTCGAACAAAAAACGTGCGCGGGAGGTATCCTACTTGCGTCTCGCCACGCATGCGCTTTGGAAGTGGTTTCACGTAAATTTGGCGAAGAGGGCCATAGGTGGGATGGCGAACATGCGATCGCGGGAATACGCACACTCAGAAACACGCGCATTGCGGGGGAGTATCCTAAGTGCGTCTGGCGCGTGCACATGTTGCATGTGTTTTCACGCCTCCAGGCAGGTATGGTAATACTGTGTTGGAATTGGGGTTTCCGGAACCAGCGAATTGGGAATCCCCAATTCGCTGGTTTCTGGAACCAGCGAATTCTCGGTTCCTGGAACCAGCGAATTGGGGATTTGTTATGGGTTCTCCGCTTCGCACCCTCGGCCGTACTTATTCCGTCTGTTCATCTGGTCACTCTTCCGCTCGGGTGTCGGGTGTTGGTACGGCAATGTTTTTTCTCTTGTTGTCTGCTTGCACCTATTTTATCTCGTGCTCTGAGACGCAGCGAACCAAGTGGATTGCATGTGGGCCGAGCATCAGCAAAAAGAAAAGGGAGGGAGGAGGTGGGGGGGAGGCAGAAGGAGGATGAGGACGGGGGGGAAGGGATGGAAGGAGGGAGGGAGGAGGGGGCGAGGGAGAGGGAGGAGGATCAGGAGGAGGAGGACTACGACGACGACGAGGAGCAGGAGGAGGAGGAGGGGGAGCAGAGGCGGCAGGCTGCGTCTCCTGGATGAGCTGGAGCCTGCAGCAGCCGCAGGAGGAGGAGGAGGAGGAGGAGCCACCGGAGCCGCAGAGGTGCTCCCTGGCGACCAGATACTCACGGAGGACCCAGCCTTCGTGTCCGGCCTCTTGGCCAAGCGGGTCTGGTCCGGGAGGCCGTTCGGAGAGTTCCAGCCGCCCAAGGCGGACCAGCCGCGACCAAGGGGGCGCGCTGTCCTCTCGCCTTCTGGGAGATCTCAAGGGCAGGGATCAGCAACACTTGAGTCGGGCGTGTCCTGCTATTCAGGAATAGTCAAAAAAATAGTCAGGGGATGTTTTGTTTTGAGTAGTGTTTGGCATCTTTTGATTATTATTTTGATACTTTTTCCCAACCATCCTGTGGTGTTGGGTCCTCGTTTTGAAGAGACAGCGCCCCGCGTCTCCTTCCTTCCTCCTCCCCCTCCTCCCTCCTCTCCTCCTCCCCCTCCTCCCTCCTCCCCCTCCTTGCCTTTGCTCTCCGCACACCCCTCACACGTTTCGTAGCCCCGTAGGGAGCTCCACCGAAGGCCCCAGTGGTTGCCATCGCATGCGTTTCCCCAACCCTGGGCAACGTTTCGTGGCCCCATAGGGAGCTCCACCGAAGGCCCCAGTGGTTGCTCTCGCATGCGTTTCCCCCACCCTGGGCAGCGTTTCGTGGCCCCATAGGGAGCTCCACCGAAGGCCCCAGTGGTTGCTCTCGCATGCGTTTGCCCCACCCTGGGCAGCGCTTCGTAGCCCCATAGGGAGCTCCACCGAAGGCCCCAGTGGTTGCTCTCGCATGCGTTTCCCCCACCCTGGGCAGCGCTTCGTGGCCCCATAGGGAGCTCCACCGAAGGAAGGCCCCAGTGGTTGCTCTCGCATGCGTTTTCCCCACCCTGGGCAGCGCTTCGTGGCCCCATAGGGAGCTCCACCGAAGGCCCCAGTGGTTGCTCTCGCATGCGTTTCCCCCATCCTGGGCAGCGCGTCGTGGCACCATAGGGAGCCCCACCGAAGGCACCAGCGGTTGCTCTCGCATGCGTTTCCCCCGCCCTGGGCAGCGCCTCGTGGCCCCATAGGGAGCCCCACCGAAGGCCCCAGCGGTTGCTCTCGCATGCGTTTCCCCCAATCTGGGCAGCGCTTCGTGGCCCCATAGGGAGCTCCACCGAAGGCCCCAGTGGCTGCTCTCGCATGCGTTTCCCCCGCCCTGGGCAGCGTTTCGTGGCCCCATAGGGAGCTCCACCGAAGGCCCCAGTGGTTGCTCTCGCATGCGTTTTTTTCCACCCTGGGCAGCGTTTCGTAGCCCCAGGGAGCTCCACCGAAGGCCCCAGTGATTGCTCTCGCATGCGGTTCCCCCACCCAGGGCAGCGCTTCGTGGCCCCATAGGGAGCTCCACCGAAGGCCCCAGCGGCTGCTCTCGCATGCGTTTCCCCCACCCTGGGCAGCGCTTCGTGGCCCCATAGGGAGCTCCACCGAAGGCCCCAGTGGCTGCTCTCGCATGCGGTTCCCCCGCCCAGGGCAGCGCTTCGTGGCGCCATAGGGAGCTCCACCGAAGGCCCCAGTGGTTGCCCTCGCATGCGGTTCCCCCGCCCAAGGCAGCGTTTCGTGGCCACATAGGGAGCCCCACCGAAAGCGGCACCCACAGCGCGTTACGAACAATTGCTTATGGTTGGGTCCTTCGCCAGGATAATTATTTTTCGTCCAACATCCGCTTGTAGGGGGACATGCCCGACCTACGTAAAGCTACACGCAAGAGAGACCCTGGGTAAGATGGACCTTTGGTGCGCAGTTTCTGTGGGGCCGCGGGGCCAAGCACAAGCGCGCAAGACGCCGTTGCCGCCTCGCGTTCGGTGATCGGGGGACCCCAGTGGGCCCGCACCAAAGGTCACTCTGGCGAAAGGTCACTCTTACGTTTATGATGTTCCAAGCCTACTTTAGCCATGATCGCCAGAAAGAGTTTCGGGCACCAGACAAAAGTACCGAAACTCGAGGGTTTTCACGTGTCGGGCCCTGGGAGACACTCGTCCGACACTGTTTCGACACTCTTTCGACACTTTTCCAGGTGCTCGAAATTATTTCCGGGATTTGGTCCTGAAGTGCGACGGGAACAACATAATGTTACGTGTCGCCGAAAGGACATGATCATGACACCATGATGCCGTACTCGCTACCGCCACCGCGCACACTATGATGGGCATTATTGTGGGTAGGCTCGCGAGCGCGAGACGCTGCACAAAGCAAGTGCTTTGCCGTTCGTGGGCCCAGATTCAGAAGGTACAGATGGGCACAAGCACACAGAAGTAGAGGTTTCTATGAGAGCGTGGGAAGATACGACAGATGGAGGAGAATATGTGAGAGTGTGGGGAGATACGACAGATGGAGGGGAAGAGGGAGACCCAGGAAATATGAGCATCTAGGATCTGTGTAGATTTGTCTGTGTCTCCGTGGGCTCCAGACTGAAGCATCAAATTGTCGGACGCTTGTGAGCACAGCCTCCCCCCATCTGCGGCTGGCCGGCGAGGGCATCCTCAGGATGTACGCGGTCCGCTCCGAGGTCGGTGCGATCGAAACGGGGGCGGAAAGAGTGGAGACGAAGACCGACAGATCCCAAGCCGACGGCAGACGCTGTTGGCCATGCGACTTCCTGTCGCAAGTGGACGCGCGTCCAGGGCAACCCCAGCAGCGAGTCCTCCGCGAAATGGGCAGGCAGTGCCGTCGAGGAGCAACAGGTTGCATACAGTCGGGGCCCTGAAGAAGGAACCCTTTTCGTTGGGGAGGGGCTCCGTGTTCCTTGATTGTTTCGCGGCTTGCCTCAGGTTGTCCTTAGGCTTTCGATATGACATCAAAGGTTAACTTATGGAAAATAGGGGCCGCGTTCCTTATTTAGGGTTCCTTCGGAAAATAGGGGAAAATATGGGAAGTGGGAGGGACACAAACACCCAGAACACATGGGAAAAGATAGAGAATCCTTTTGTTTGTGTGCATTCATTGTGTGTATTTATTGTGTGTGTCCCAGTTCCCCTTCATACGCATACGCGTTCCGGGGTCGGCGCGGAGGTCTCCGAGCGGCGCCGGAGCTCCCCGGCGGCACCCCGCCCCTGCTGCGCTCCGGCGCGCGCCGGGGGGAGGGGGGCCAACGCCGCTCCGAGGCGCACCAGCGCGGGCCTCCGAGAGATTACTCCGGATTTCGTACAAAAAGGTCCTTTGGGTGGCCGGCGCGATCGGTCGGGGCCCTCTTGGGCAGCAGTCAAGAGCTCGGCACGCCAGGGGCGCGATTTTTGGTCCGTCCGTGTCCGTCCCTCGGTTTTGTGTGAGGGGTGCTCCAGATTTCGTAATCAAAGGGGGGGGGTCCTGGACCCTCCAAGACAAGCCATTTCAGGTCTCCCCCGTGGGAGAGCCCTCCCAAACATCGTCCCCAGACCCCCCAGGCCCTCCAAGATAGCCTGGAAGAGACCCCCCCCCCCCTCGAAATGAGACCCCCCTCCCTTTATTACGAAATCTGGAGTATGCTAGTGCAGCCTTCTGCTCCTGTATGCTGTCGGTCTTCTTTTCCGCTCTTCGGCGGGCGAGACACGTCCGTGTCCACGCCCTCGCGGGCCAGGCGCCTGGGCCGCGACCCCGCGGATACAGGGCGTCTCGTTCGCGGATGCCCCGCGCGGACCCCCCCGGAAAGGATTTGCGCGACCGCGTATTCGTCGGGGGCGGAAAAGAGGGGGGTGATGACTAGGGGGGGGTGGATATCATGGCGGGGGCCATGATATTTCCCCAGATTTTATGGCGCCTCTTCTTATTTCATTACGTCCCTGGCCCCTCCGCTGGGCCGCGCACATGCCGCCGGTCATGATTTGCACCCCCCCCTCTCGGACACCCCCCTCTTGGCCGCTCCCGAATTCGCTGGATCGCGCTCCAGAACCCAGACCGCGAGGGTGCGGAGACGGATGCGTTCGCCGTTTTTGGATCCTGGAACACACACACTGGCATGAACATACACTTTGGGACTTTTTGGGAAGTCCGCACGGGTTTCTCAGATCGGTGCTGCACCCCCCTGCCTGGCGCAAGGAGCGAGGCAGGGGCGGCGCTGGAGGCGCCGCCAGGGGGATCAGTGCCGATCCGAGAAATCCGCGCGGACCTCCGACAGTGCATGTTTGTGCTACGGTAGGTTCATGCGGTGTTGGCGCGCCGACGACACCGGCGAAGTCATTTTTCCTCCCCAGGGTAACGCAAACCCTCCCCCGGGTAATGTTAACGATCGTCTGGGGGGGGGCCTGGACCCCCCCTATCCTGGGGGCACATCGGCGATTGATGCGCCGGTGGCGCGGACGCACCCTGGCGGGTGCACGGCGCTGCTGCCCCCACCCCCCTGGGCAACAACAATTACCCAGGAAAGCAAAAAGGACGGTCACCAAGGTTGAATGCTCCGACGCGGAAGCACCGAGGGACACGGTGACGCCAGTTGACCCGGCGGCATTCAACCTTGGAAGATCGGGGCCGGGTTCAGGGTCGAGCTATCGACGCGGCGACGAAAATTGTTGCGCGCGCCGACGCCGCACGAGCCTACCGTACTGCTTGTTCGCCTACCGTACTGCTTGTTCGCCATGAGGCCAGCCAGGACCACGAGCTCGCCTCGCTCGGGGGGGGCGCCCTCGGCGGCTTCACTGTGGCGTCGCGCGTGGCGCGCCTGGCGTCGCGCGCTAGGGACGGGCGGAGGTCGGGCAGTGCCGAAGGGGGGGTCACCGCTACACGCCGGTCGTTGAGAGTAGGTGCGCAGCACCCCGCAGTTGCGGATAAGATCGGGGGCCCCCAAACGGGGTGGTGACCACACCGTGTGGTGAGTCGGTGGGGATTCGGGGACCCCGCACGGCTTTGAGGCTCGGGTCGTTCTCCGAGGACGTCTCGGGCGACTGGGGCCTCCTCCTCCTCCTCCTCCTCCTCCCCCTTCCTCCTCCTCCTCCTCCTCCTTCTCCTCCTCCTCCTCCTCCTCCTTCTCCTCCTCCTCCTCCTCCTCCCAAGACCGTGCGGTGACGGACCGTGAGGTGAGGTCTTAGGGCCGGGGGAATTTCCAGGTCACCGCACGGTGTGTCGCCGCACCGCTTCGGGACTCCAAAGAAGAGAGTGAGGGAGCGGGCGTGGGGTGTGGGTCGCGGGGTGGGTCGCAGGTGGGTCGCGGGGTGGGTCGGGGGCGGGTCGCGGGGTGGCCGCGGGCGAGGACGACGACAACCACGCAGCAACGGAACAACAACAACAAGCAGAGTCCGCGCCGCAGAGTCCCACTTCAGTTACGCACCCAGGGATAGTGAATGGCCGTTCGGCCCCCTCACTCTGACCTCTGGATATCCAGATCCCAATCTACTTTAGGCGCCTTCCCACTTCAAGAGTCTAGCCGTTTTCCTCCTTCCTCTTCAGGGGGCGTGCGCAAGCCCAATTCGTTTTCAACGTCCTCCTACTTCATGTTTGTTCCCAATTCTTCCGACCGACGGGTACAATAGTTCGGAAGCAAATCGTTGGAATTCCGTGTGTCCTCGCAATTCCGTCTTTCGATTGCGTCAGCGTTGATTCACGTCACGTAATCGGTGAGATCGCGCCGATTTCGCGTCGATCAGCGTCGGCTAGCGTCGACTAGCGTCGGTTCAGCGTCGATTGACGTAGATTGGCGCTGATTCGCAAGAGTCAATCGGATGGGAGGCTCCCATGAGTTGCCACCGAGAGGTATAAGGAAACAAGTAAGTGGCATTGGTTCAGTTGTTGTTGCTTTTGTTGTTGTTGGCTTTCATGTCTCAAGAATCTTACAAGTAGTCGGCCTGGACCCCAAACTGTGTGTTTCTGGCAATCGATGTTGTGCAGTCTATGTGTTGCAATCTAGGTTGTGCAATCTATGCTGTTGTGCACTGTGCGGCGCAATCCACTTGGTGCAATACAGGTCGTGCACTCCTATGTAGTCCAATACATGTGGTCAATTGTTTTCGCTCGCCTGCACGCCATGTGAGGTATCTCAGTGGCTTCACGTCTGCGTTGCCGAGCTTACCATCGTGCAACATAGCGCTGAAACAACAGAGAAGTTCGCAACTCATATAGTGACTTCATGTGGTGCAATCAATGCGGTCACATGTCTGTTGTGCAAGCCATGTAGTTCAGCCTGAGTGGTGCACTCTACGTGGTACCATATAAGGTGATCAACAGATGTGGTGCAATACACGTTGCGCGATTTATGGTGTAATTGATCTTCTGCACTGTTGTGCAATCCATGTGGTACACCCCTATGTTGGCAAACACTATATGATGTACAATCTATGTGGTGCAGTCTGAGTAGTGCCATTCACCATTCAGGCGGTGCAACCTATGCTGTGCACTCGATGCGGGGAATACACGTGGTGCAGTCTATGCAGTGCAATGAATTTCTGTTCGCAGTGAGTTGTCCACTCCACTGCTCGCGCAAACATCCCACCCACCCGCCCGCAACTTGGTTTGCAAAATCTCTTAAGACCGTGACGGTGGGTACCACATGGCACTTGGCAACAATAGCGACGCCGACGACGACAGCGACAACGACGATGACGACGCCGCCGACAACGACTACGACGACACCGACGACGTCTCCAACGACTTCGACGACGACGACGACCGACGACGACGACGACGACGACGACGACGACGACGACGACGACGACGACGACGACGCGACGAGCGACGACGACGATGACAACGACGACGACGATGACGACGCCGACGACGACGATAACGACGACACCGACGACGACGACGACGTCAACGACGCCGACGACGACGACGACGACGACGACGACGGCGCCGACGACGACGACGCCGACGTCGACGACGACGAAGACGACAACGACGCCGACGCCGACGACGACGACGACGACGACGTCGCCAACGAAGACAACGAGGAAGGAGGGAGGACGACGACGGCGACAACGACGACAACGACGAGGGAGGAGGGAGGACGGCGACGACGCGAACGACGAAGAAGGAGGAAGGACGGCGACGCCGACGACGACAACGACGAGGGAGGAGGGAGACGACGACGACGACGACAACGACGACGACGACGGGCGACGACATAGGAGGGACGACGACGAGACGCCGACGACGGACGACGACGACGACGAGGGAGGAGGAGGACGGACGACCACGGCGACAACGACGACGGAAACGACCACGACGCCAAAGAGGACGACGACGAACACGAGGAAGAGGACGACGTAGGCGACGACGACGACGACAACGACGCGGGAGGAGAGAGGACGACGACGACGACGACGACGCAATAGCGCGCGCGCACGCTTTTGTTGAACATCCGTGTTGCGAAACCTTGTGTTTTTGTATGTGTTTTGGACACGATTTTGAAATCCTTCCGAAACCGATGGGTTTCGAAGGTTTTCGGCATATGCGCGCGACGACGCGCGCGTTTGCATTCCGTCCCATTTTTTGCAGGGGATTCTCGCGACGGCACACGCGCAAGGGCGTTCGACAGATTTCGACATGAGCGCGCGCGAAGCCCGTTGGGTAGCATTTTGTGAACATCTTGAAAACCATGGTTTTCTTAAGATTTCGCAAGAGCTTTCGCGGAAGCTTTTTTAGCAACTTTGTGTTGCGACACCCTGTGTTTTTGTATGTTTTTTGGAAACTCGATTGCGAAAGCCTTCCCGCGCCGAACGTTGTTGAAGGATTTCGGCATGCGCGCGCCACGCACTTCGTTTCATTTTTTTGCAAGGGATTCGCGAAAAAGTGTTATGTTAGAACAAATCTGCCACCGCATAGTGTTTTTTTTACAAGGGAACCTCAGGGGGGGACCCGGTTTGGCTGGGATGGTACGATTTCATATTTAGGATGGACGAGTGTGCAGACTTTATATAAAATCCTATTATCCCAGGGGGAACCGATAAGTCGAGGGGGGGAGGGGGGGGAAATTTATTAATCGCTTGGAAAGGAGAATTGATTTTAACAAACGAGTTGGCACATCCCGCGCTCTTGTGGTATGGAGAGACTTTGGTTTTTCAACAAAACGAGTTGGCACATCCACGCGCTTTGTTAAACATCCCACCCACCCACCCGCAATGTTGGTTTGCGAAAACAAATACGGTGGCGAATTGCGATGCTTGCTCGGCGTTGGCTGTGTGCGTCTTTGCGGTCCCCGCGCCAACGAAAGCACGCCGCGCCGCCGCGTACAGCCAGCGGCCAGCTAGTAGTTTGGCGCGACCGACGCGGCCGTGGTGGCTGCCACTGATTCCGTTGGGCAAATCATCGGGCTCTTATTGTTGCGGGTTTTTTTTGTGGCGGCGGTCTTGGGCGGGCGCGGACGGTGCAGTTGGCCAACGCCGCCACAGGGTGTAGTAGGGGCGGGGGGGTGGCTCCATCGATGGTGAGGGGGGGGAGGAGGGGGGGAGGGGGGGGGGTGAGGGGAGGGTGGGGGATGGTTGGGGGTGGGGGGGGGGGTGGGAGTGGGGTGGGGGGGTGGGGGGTTTTTTTTTTTTTTTTGTCTTTGTTTTTTTTTTTTTTTATTTTTTTTTTTTTTTGTTTTTTTTTTTTTATTTTTTTTCGCTTTTGATTTTTTTTTCTTTTTTTTTCCACTTTACCTTTTTTATTTTTTTTTTTTTTCTTATTAATGTTTTGCATTATTTTTTTTTTTTTTTTTTATGTTTTTTTTTTTTTTTTTTTTTTTCTTGTCTTTCATTCACGATCTATTTTTTTTTTTCGGCGACGACGCCAACGACGACGACGACACCACCGACGACGACTACGACGCCGACGCTGACGACGACGACGACGATGACAACGCCGACGACGACGACGCCGCCGACGACGACGACGACGCCGACGACGACGACGACGGCGACGACGACGACAGCGACGAGGACAACGACGACGACGACGTCGCCAACGAAGACGACGACGAGGGAGGAGGTACGATGACGACGGCGACGACGACGACGACGGAGGAGGGAAGACGAGGACGACGACGACGACGACGGCGACGGAATAGGAGGGGCAACGGCGAAACGCCGACGAAGACGACGAGGGAGGAAGGACGACCACGGCGACAACGACGACGGAAACGACGACGACGCCAAGACGGCGACGACGACGACGACGAGGGAGGAGGGATGACGGCGACGACGACGACGGCGACGCAAGTGCGCGCGCGCACGCTTTTGTTGAAAATTCGTGTTGCGAAACCTGGTGGTGTTGTATGTTTGTTGGGCACGATTTTTTTGACATCCTTCCGACACCGAAGGTTTTTGAAGGATTTCGGCATTCGCGCGCGACGACGCGCGCGTCTGCACTTCGTTTTGTTTCGCTGGTTGTTCTCGCGACGGCACGCGCGCAAGGGCTTCCGAAAGATTTCGACATACGCGCGCGCGAAGCCCGTTTGGTAGCATTTTTAGATACTGAAAACAGTATGGTCCCGTAAGATTTCGCAAGATCGCGCGCGTAAGCTTCCTTAGAAAATCAGTGTTGCGATACCCTGTTTGTTGTTCCCAATCATCCTGTGGTGTTGGGTCCTCGTTTTGAAGAGACGGTCCCCGCTTTCCTCCTTCTCCTCCTCTTCCCCCTCCTCCTTACCGTCCGCATGCGTCCCGCACACCCAGTACAGCGCTTCGTGGCCCCATAGGGAACCCCACCGAAGGTCCCACTGCTACCGCCCGCATGCGTCCCGGACACCGAGTACAGCGTTTCGTGGACCCATCGGG